AAAAAAAATCAATTTTCATCAGGTTTAGAATACACATGTATTTTTAAATTATTTAATTGTCAAAATGTTTGCATAATTGTTTCTTTGATGAATAAAATATACCTTTGTAAATGTGTCTGTTTCTTTGAGAAACAGCGTTTAATATAGCATTAGTGAACTCTGTTAAATGCACTAAACAGATGAAACTTCGATCGCTTCAAAACGTTGCAATTTAATTTTAAGCATTTTATTTACTGACAGTAGATATTAAAGTAAATATTTCGTCTACCATCTCTACACAGTGGTATTAATATTTTTTGTACACTACATTTCTCTCCGATTCTTTTACAACATGGACTGTGCTATTAATACAGTCACACGACTTTTCATACAAACGGGACGTAACTCTAAAACATTGTGATTGCGATTGAATTTTGATCTAACAGACGTAATATTTTAAATTTAATGGGCTACTTAAAACAACTTAAAGTTTTTTTTTGCTTCCTGCAAATCTTTTATGTTCAAAGCCTCGCCTATGTCTACAGAAGCCGGTTGGTGCCAGGTAGAAAAAATATTTTATCTGGCGGCCGCCAGATAAATAACTGGCGGCCGCCAGAAAGTTATCTGGTGACCGCCAGAAATAATGTGGCGGCCGCCAGATATTTATCTGGCGGGTATCAACTATGGGTATCAACAGTCTCGTTTTCTCAACATTTGGCAAATTTTATGGTCGATACAATGACCTTATTAGCATATACAATACACCGTTAAGTCGAATGTTGACTGACGTTTTTCATTCAAATTGTTAGGTCATTATTTTTACACTGAATTGTCTACGAATTTTTCCGTTTGCCCGATCATAACAAGGAATACACCTCGCCTGTGACTTCGACAGGGGATGCCCACTCCTCCATGGCACCAGATCCCATCTCTGATGTTTTGGAGGTCCGTGTTTGCTCTGCTCCCGATTTGAGATGGACTTTTGAGCTAGAATACTAATCGTTATCTCCATATTTCATTATACAAGATTTATCATTCCTCTGATAAAGGAGAGCAAGCAGAAAATCAAAGATGCTACATGTATAAAGCACATGGATTAATTGCACTTTGGGGACGAGATATGGATATCTGCAATAACAAGTTTTATTTCATTGACTCCATTCCTTTGCAGTTTCTGGGGTGTCATGTAAGTTTACTTGCAGTGTAGGTTAAAATTGCTTGCATTTCCACTTTTGTTTGCTCTATATACAATGGATAAGTAATTAATGCTTTTTCTTTCGGTTGAAGTCAAAAAGAAAAATACATTTATATCCCTAACAAATCTACTAGGGGTCATTATTCTACGGGGGTCATTTTTCTTCACGTAGGATATGCAGATTTTAATGGTGATGCCACTTTTTCTACGAGCAAAAATTGCATTTTTCGACGTCGAAAAGTGACCCCCGGTCTTTATTCTACGGGGTTCATTATTCGTCTTTACACCGGATTGTACAGTTGTTGGATTGGACAGTGGGCACGATATATATATATATATATATATATATATATATATATATATATATATATATATATATATATATATATATATATATATATATATGGGAAAAGGGGTCTTAATGATAAATTTCTCGAAATTTTTCAAATTAACAACAATTTCAGGAAACACAGACAAATTTTGAGTATTGAATTTGCTATAGTTTTAAAGATATACCTATTTGAACACATGTTGTAATGAAACAATAACGTCATTGATGTTATTCAATAACGTCATCTCTTTTTTTTTCTTTTTTTTAAAATGACATCTTAGTTACAGAGGCTTTGCATAAATTAATTTGATGATAAAAAATAGAACAGAATTACTTGATTTTTTTTTTTTTTTAAATTTTTATTTTTATTTTTTATTTTTTTTATACATATTTTGAATAAAATATCACTAAGCATATTTCTTTTTAAAAAATCAAAGTATATTTATTAAATTATTTTAAGTGTGTGCATCTGTACATGTTGAACAGTGAATGTATATCAATTTAATTTCATAAAGATTGACTATATAATTGTTGCTTTCAATAAACATTGTTGAAAACGACTGAAAAATAGATATGATAACAAAGAAACAGAAAATAAAATACAAAACAAGGTTAAATGTCATTACTTTTACGTTATTTAGGCGGTGGACAGGTGTCCGATCTTGCTGCCCCGCTGGGAAAATGGTCTAAGTCATGTTAGTTTAAAAGTTGTTGTAAAACGTGCTTTATAAATAAAATTAATTTCATTACGTTCCTCTAATAAAACTAATGTCCAAATAACTGTTTCTCACTTCCATTCTCAATGAGTGTCTAGTGTAGGGCGGAGCCGCGGAAATTCCATCGGCATCGAAAGCAAGTTTTTTGACTTGCCTAGATGGCCAGCGATCTAACATGCTGTTCCTGTACTGCTAGGTCGAGAGTTCAACCCCGGGGTGTGGCGGAAGTGGGTATCCTTATAAAATTGAATTTCTTTGTTGTTCTATATTCAGATAATTCTCCACTTAGGGCAGTTCTGTTAGTATAAGACTTGTTGTAAAATGAAATTATAAATAAAATTAATTTCATTACAATGTGTGTCGGTAACGATTATCTAATAAAACTGATGTGCAAATAACTGTATCTCACTTCCATTCTCAATGACCGTGTAGTGTAGGGTGGCGCCGCTTGGGGCGAATTACATTGTAACGTAATGCATTACATTACCATTACCTTTACCATAGTTTCATAAAGGGACCAAGACACAAATTTGAAGTTAATTTTTTTTTTTCAAATTTTCTGTATAATATCACGACTTATATGTCGCTATAGGCATTTCACACGGAAATATAATAAATAACTTATTTTATCTGGAAATTATTGAAAGCATGAATTTTGAAAGCGTTTGATTGCACTTTCACAAAGTGAACTTTATCCTTAATACTTAAGAAAAGTAAACATTTTGTTGTGTATTAATGATAAATATTAAAACTTTAATCCAACAAATTCAGAGTAGAAATGTGAGAAAGCAGAAGCAACTCATCAGCTGGATGCCGCTTGTTTTTATACTATTTTTGAATCTATGTAATTACATGGTAACGATTATTACGTATAATTCCTTATTTGCTTTTAGTAAATAGTTTTAATAAACAATGACAGCATTAATCATGTCAGTTATCTTTGCTTTACCCCCTTGTCGATGATTCGCAACACATATTAAAAATAACTACAACGAAAAAAGGCATTGTTCATCAAATTTATTACTGAATAAACTATTTATTATTTTCAGTAACAAACAGTATTTATTATGTATCTTCTACATTTTACTTGTGTTTTGATATGTATAATTACCAAAATGTATAATTTTTACAAATAAAATCATACGTTTGTGTACGACTCCTTCGCAATATTCTCCGTTCAGAATTTTAATACAAACAAAATTACATATACTGATGTTTTAGAACTAATCATAAGGGAAATATAAAATAATTATTAAATAATATTTTCATGATATTAATTTATGAATATACGTAGTTTTACATGTAGTCAAGCAATACATGGACGAAACTCCTTGCAAATTAAAGCTAACACGAGGATCTGGCATAAAAGAACTGAACGACTTCAAGATGTATGCTTCTGTTTAAATCACAAATAACAACTATGGAAGAGAAAGCACTAAAAATGTCATTTGATATACAGCTATAGATTGAGTATAGATAACTTACAACCACCCCACCCCCACCCCGAGCGATTAAGATAAGGAAAAAAACTAGGGCCATATCTTACATGTACATAATCTTACTGCTGACATTATTATTAAATAAACTCTCTAATATCGATTTTGAACGAAACATTTTAAACCCCAACTTTAAGACCATTATGATTCATGATATATAAAACATACATTTTAAGACCAGTTCTTTGGTAAGGTAAAGAAAAAAAATGTTAACTCTTTAGAATTGTAATTAATGATAAAAACATATCTTTATTGCAGTTTGATGTTTCGATAAACCATAAATAAGAAAAAATAGGTAATAAAAACGAAATGTTTAATACGTAAAACAATGTTAATAACCTACTAATAATCTATTTAGTTGAAGAAAAAATGCAAAAATAAAAAATAAAATAAATGAATAAAAATGATTATTACTTGAACACGGATAACAAATTGCTTGTTTTAAATGTTTGGTTTTTCACTCTCAATTTTTTTCAGGGTTGGGGAGTGGGGACGTTAATGGTCGTGGACTTTTGTTCAGCAAAAGCTTTACTTTTGGGTGTAGGGAGTGCTTTTTCTATAAAGTATGTCAAATAAATTGACTATGTGGGTACCGATTTAGAAAGAAGTACTTTTGATTTGGCAGCTGTGTTTATCATATATCAATTTATTAACCCTCTTATGATGTGAAACCCCCTTCTACTACTTTCACGCAATAAAATTAATAGACAAACATACATAAAATCGTTTGAGGTCAAGACAAGAGGAGTTTGATTTAGTAGTAAATATTATAAAAATATTTTTAGAATTACCTACATGTTAATAAGACGTGATGGCATTGGTTGTTTCTTAAGTCTTCCTAGTTGTTTTCCCAGTTGATTTTGTATATAAAAGCAACAAATTTTTAAAACCAAATACGTCTGTAAGCTAAAACTTTCAATAATGTCTCACTCAACCTTAGTTATAGTTACTGTATCAGCAATCCTTAACATTTGCATCTGCTACCCATTAAGTCAGTTCTATAACTTTAGCTCGGCTGCTGGAGACAGCGAATTGCCAGCAAATGACGACGGCTCTACTTCAAGTATCCCTATAGCTGTGCCATTTCCTTTCTTTGGGTCATCTTACAATTCCATTTACGTAAGTATAGGACTTTTATTTAAAATAGAAGATACGTACAAAATATACTTGTTTTAAATAATTAATTTCATTTAAAAACACCCAAAAAATTTGCAATTCATAAATATTATCTGAAGACATAAACCAAATATAGAATGAAAAAAGTAAATTTTCTATTTTTTAAGATGTTAATCGCACTGTTCTAACATCTAAGGTCAATAACAATGGAGACGTTACGTTTGAGACTCCATTAAGACAGTATACTTCACAACCTTTCCCAATAAATGGAAGTCATAGAATCATAGCACCATTTTGGACTGATATAGATACAAGGCAAGGAGGGAAATTATGGTATCGCACAACCACAGACACAGCTGTATTAGAAAGAGGGACGACTAAAATCAACTCTTTCTTCCCTGACATTTTAAATTTCACTGCCACGTGGATGATGATAATTACATGGGAAGACGTGGCTGCGTTTGGCTGCTCTGCCACCGGTGCCATAACTTGTCAGCAGGTAAGATTGAATTAGTTTCATATTTTTATTTACTGAAGTCAAGGAAATTTTTAGATCTTATATTTGAATAATTGCAAATATTCAATTACGTTTTTTATTATTGCTTCTTAGTTAAATTTGTCAAAATAAATATCTAAGGATAGCGTTATCAACTTCGACTGATTTAAATGAACCTTTTGCATCGAATATCCTTTTTATTACTTTTGTATTCATTTCACAAGAATTCCTTGAGGCGCACATCGTCGGGTATTTACACAAACATCCCCTGGGATATATACCAAAAATGACAAGTTAGTTAAAGATTTTGGCATGAAATCGTAAACATCTTCCATATCTTTTAGATTTGAACCATATTAGATTTATTTGGACTCGCCTAAAACTGGTCTTTGTTTTGAAAAAATATTTTATTCATTTACTGAATTGGACCAAAGAGTAGGCATTAATATCTATAATCACCTCTCTTAGTACGAAATGGATCTTTCTATACAAAAAAAGACTAACTGCAGTTTTACACTCTAAAGATTGTGATTCAATATACACTTCAACTGTAAAAGACCTGAGGAAGCTTGAGAAAACGTTATAAGGGGTAGACGTAGAATATATCGCAATAGAGAAGTCATCATTGATGTAAAGATTGAAGGAGCCTTAATCTCCCAAAATAGCAGTAGTGATAAAAGTACTAATGTGCCGACAGGGATAATGAGTAAATTTACGACCACCTCCTTCCATGATTGATTAAAGTGGTTGTGTTTAAAACTACTTTCATTAAGAGTCATTCTATACATATCATAATTTCATGTGGGACATAATTGTAGTAAACTCTTAATTGGGGCCAATTTCGAAAATTTTCTGGGACCATTTATAATCTAAAAGTGATTAATTATTGTTGCAAGAATTTTTCACTTTTATGAGACGTCACTAATTACCGCTGAACGGCTCAAATTTAGACCTTTTCTCGATACTCCTATACCAATGAATAAAATTTAATGAGACTTTCAAGGAATCATTATTGTATAGTGCCATTCTACACTTTTTTTTTAGCTCACCTGAGCTGAAAGCTCAAGTGGCGTCATTAAAAAATCTTTTCAAGAACCACTGGTCCAGAAAAGCTGAAACTTATTTGGAAGCATCCTGGGGTAGTGTAGATTCTAAATTTTTCAAATCATGACCCCCGGGGGAAGGGCGGGGCCACAATAGGGAATCCAAGTTTTACATTGAAATATGTAGAATATATCTTTAAAAATCTTCTCAGGAACCACTGAGTCAGAAAAGCTGAAACTTATGTGGAAGCATCCTGGGGTAGTGTAGATTCTAAATTGTTCATATCTTGACCCCGGGGGTAGGGCGGGGCCACAATAGGGAATCCAAGTTTTAAATTGACATATGTAGTAAAAGTCTTTAAAAATCTTCTTCTCAAGAACCACTTGTCCAGAAAAGCTGAAATTTATGTGGAAGCATTCTGGGGTAGTGTACATTCTAAATTGTTCATATCATGACCACCGGGGGGGGGGGGGGGTAGGGCGGGGCCACAAAAGGTATAACAACGTAGGAAATCAGGTGAACAGCAGGGCCAAAGTTACTCAGGTGAGCGTTATGGCCCATGGGCCTCTTGTTTTTATTTTGTTTCAAATGGACAGATATCGTATTTGAGGATTCCCGTAGTAAACCTTGGACACTGCTATTCTTTCTATGAGATTGGGATACCCCTCTCTTATCAGCTTCTACTCCTATACCACTGATTATAATTAAATGATTAATGAGATTTTCACAGAATCTTTATTACATAGTGCCGTTGTGCACCTCCTATTTTATATTTCGATTCGACAGATATTTTAGGTATCCCGTAGCAAAAAATGGACTTTGATCTTATATGGGAGCGGGGATATCATTTTGTGAGCGCAGTGCTCACAGTACCTCTAGTTTTGTATGTTTTCAAATTATAGTTGTATCTGATGTATAAACTGTTTTAGATGTTAAACCAAACAAATGTCGGGAATAAAAATATCATTAAAGTTTTATTGTTAGAATTTATTTCTTTTGCAGTGGAACACATTTCAACTTGTTTTAATCAACAATGGTGTTTATTCTTTTGTCGTATTTAATTACAACAAAATCAACTGGACAAAATCTGCTCAGGTAACAGAAATAAATTTAACATTATTGTTACATGTGTGGTTGAAACATCATATTTCTCGTTTAGATAATAACAATGTCATGTCCATGGACACATACAAGTATGTATACCTTAATCTTTATATTCCGTCTCCTGAAAGGTCGGGTTTAATGCTGGTGATGGAGAGAATTATTACTCAGTTCCCGGGTCAATGACAAACGCTGTGTTAAATCTTCCTCAGATGTCTAATATTGGAATTCCTGGACAGTTTGTATTTAGAGTGGATCAGTCTAAAATAACTAATGCAGGTTTGTTCTGTTATTAAATTCGGTTATCTTCACTTGTTCTTCCAATCATCTATTTGATTAATTCCTATATATAACAGCTTATTCAATGAATTGAAAAAAAGGAACCATTAATTATAATATTTCTACAGATATCTTTGACGAATGCGCCAGTTCTCCCTGTGTTCACGGAAATTGTTCAAATGAATACCTTTTGGTACATGTGACATATTATATGCATGCAGTTAAGTAACTAATTTAATTCCACTACATATACAGAGGATATCTATATTGTGTGATTTTATATTTGTTTTATCCAACGAATTGAAATGTTGTATATTCGCCGAATATTCGCTTGCCGAGCGAATATACACCACTTATCGAGTTGGATAAAGCAATTATAAAATCACGCAATTATAAATGTTTTATTTATCTTTTTTTTTTTTTTTTTTTTTTTTTTTTTGCTTTTAACAAAACTTTGCAATTACCCCCTGTAACCTTTTGATTGATTCGGCCATAATCGATTACCTGTAAATTGATGACGTCGCCTGGTCTTGTTGATGTTGACATACCGAAAGATATAAAATACGACAACTTGGAATAATATCTGCAGCGTGACAATATGGAGAATTATTTCATGTAAACTTTTGACTGGAAGGACCGAGGAATCACTTATGATTCCTCGGTGATAGTGCTACTTAGCCTAGATCTATGATAAGTTACATGCTTCTAGTATTATGCAAGAAGGTATAGTTGAAAGTGACTAGACCTTCCTGCGTGGTCAAAGGAATATTGAACCATCAACTTAACTGTTAGGCCTAACGTTACTCATAAGGACGATTAGAAAGGGTGGGGGTTATATCGGTATCGATTCGACATGTAAATAGATTGACGGTAATATGTGAAATATTTTTAAAAAACAATTATGTAACTAATAATTAATGGCGGTAATTATATAATAAGCCGTATGTGTTAAATTGTATTTCGACATTTGTAAGTTGATATTGGTTTGCATGCCAAAAGAGAATTGGGTGGGTCGGGGGTATTATTATCCAGTTGAAACACGCACGTATCATCTCATGTGGATTAGGTAGATATCTTAAAGTTGTCTTAAGATACCCCCATATTCACACGTCACCAAGTCAAACCCTGATAGAGCATTACCATAAAAGGGCCAGAACCGCAGCATAATTTATAACAAAAGATGGATGTTTAAGATGTAGAATACGAAGTATTTTTATCAGTTGGATCGAAAGTAATTGAATATTTTCCCAAAGAATGTACATTATTCATATACGTACGATCAGGTACCAAATTAATTTTACACATAAATATTTTACATTGGTCTCCGACAGTTTTTTCTATTTACCAACTAAAATTCCTACTCAAAAGACGCTATTCTCTAACCTATATTCATCAGGCACCAGACTTATTTTACATGAACAGTTTACACTCTTACAAGAATGGTTCTCTCACCTGCCTGTTGTGTGTACCAGCTAAGATTTCTACACAATACAAGCAAATACGTTATTTATTTTGCAGTTGCGCGATTTAAATTATATGAGGATATTACCTTGTCCCAGATGTTATCCTCCAGCTACCTATATTTTGTACCGGCTAAGATTCTTTCAAGATCACACTATTCACCTACCTACCTTTGGATATTCGCAAGAATAATTAAATGTAAAAGTGTTAATTACCCTGAACCCAGATGTTTCCCCGACCTTTCTGTTCCAATTTAGATTTCTCCACAATACACGCTATTTTCCTACCTACTTATGACCGTCTGATGATTAATATAAAATGAGGATATTACTCTGATACCAGAGCGTCTCTCCTACCTACCTGCTGTATGTACCAGCTAAGATACCTGCAAAATACACACTAATTCCCCATCTACTTTTGACAGTCAAAATATTAACTTGACATGAGGATTTTTCCAACCTACCTGTAGGTTGTACCAGGTATGATTCCTACACAATGCACACTATTCTCCTACCTACTTTTGACCGTCAAGGGATTAAATAGATAAACACTAGGATATCACCCTGATCCCAGAGGATCTCCCAACTACATGTATTTTTTAACCCGCTGAGATTCCTGCACAAAAGCTATTCAGCCACCAGCAATTGGACATGCGCGAGAATAATTAAACATGAGGATGAAACCCTGATCCACGGTGTTTTTTCCTGACCTACCTGTGGTTTTTACCAGGTAGGATTCCTGCGCAATTCATGCTATTCCCCTACCTATTTTTGACAGTCACAAGATTAATTTACGTGAAGATATTACCCTTATTGCAGATGTTTTTCCACCTACCTGTAGTTTGTACCGGCTGTGATTCCTTTACAAGTTTTTATGAAATGCAACGACCATCTAACCTCATTTAATAAATGATGTAATAAACTGTATTTCGCTCAAGGTCCACGTCAAAAGCAAAAACGTCTCATTTCTCTACTCGGTTTCGGGCGTTTCCACAGAAAACAGGAGTTGCTAGTATTTTATATTTTTGTCTGAGGTGAGAATCCTCATGTTTGCTCCCAATTGATACCAAATTCAAGAGCACGGGAGTCTTGGAGATACATACATTTTTGGTAAATTGAAGGACGAGTAGTTGCACTCTATGCTTCACTTTCAAGTATCTGTTCGACTTCTTTCACAATAGAATTACCCGCCTTTATTGATGATTTGTATTTTTGTAACTAAATCTTTAATCTTTAGAAAGCATTGTTTTACAAGGTCTGAAAAGGTTGGATAATTTTGCAAAAAATTAATTTTAGATTTTTCGGTCAAAATCTAGAAACCGTTTATCAATTCCTCTTTCCGATCAAGTACACGATTTCTTGATCGGCAAAACAAATGAACTCTTTATTGTGTATCTGCCGTGCAGATGTACATGCATAATTAAGTTATCGCTTTTTTACAGTGTTTTATACAATGAACCGATAAATGGATACATTTTCATTGTTTAATCATAAAAAATGTCTAGATAGATTTATTATTCAATATTGTATATGTTCTATGGGAACATGTTTAGCAGCTGTGACTTACAGAGTGACCTTCACTTTTCTTAAATTCCTCTTTGAAATATTTCAAAATTTTGGGTTTCTGTAAAGACATCTTTCAAATGTACCTCAATTTTCTTAATGAACAAGTATATTTTGAATACACTTATTTTGAATACACTGTATACCTAAAGCCCCAGTCACACTGTCCCGATTTAGCTTCGCGACCACTCACGATTTGGTCTAATGTACATCATCGTGGGAGAACGTATAAATGATCGTGTTGAAACCTGATGAATCGTATGCTAGCATGAAAAATTCGGCAAAATTTACGATTATTTTGATGCTGCTCAAAACAAGGCTAAGTGATCGTGACATCGACAACATTGATAAGAACTTGTAGATCTACCGTAGTTAATTAGATGCTGAATCGTGATTTGTCGTAACAGCACCGTTGTGGAAGACGTAGGTGAACTTCAGTGGACGTGGTTTCAAGTTATTAACAGGTTATTAAGAGGTCTTTCAGTGTCCTTATAATCCCTTCAACCTTTTAGATAAAGGAAAGTTTGAGACTTCAGCCTATCCGCCATGTCTCTTTCTTGTTCGTTGCTTATTAGCAATACAACTCTTTTTGTTTTTTGAAGTTGCTTCTTTGCACAGCTGAAGACGAAATAGAAAGTATTAGGATTTTCTTCTGAAGAGGCACAGAAATGGAAAAAATAAGACCTGTTTATTTTCTACTGCGTCTCCATCCTTGTAATTTTCGATGAGATTAATGCATTTTGCGTTAACTCTCCTTAATGATAACTATGAAAACTTTGATTTGCTATAGTGATAATTTTGACACTATAGCGATAACTTTGAAAACTTTGATTACTATAGTAATCACTATGACACTATAGTATATATGTTGAAATCTTTACTATGGTGATAGTTTTGAAACTTTTATTTACTATAGTTAATTATAGTTTACTATAGTATTTTGTGTTAGGGATGCAACCTTAAAGTACCAACAGACAGTATTGTAACAAATAAACAGTTGTTGAGAAAGTAAAAAATTCTTTCTATTGTAGAAATTTCATTTCAATTTAGATAAAATTTTGTGATGTTTTAAAATAGAACAACCAAATCTACTAATGTCTGTAAATATAATTCCTCAAAAACATTTCCCTTTTATTTACAAATCATGTTTAACTCACTTGTCATCTTCACAAAATCTTTACATTTGCAATATCATCTTATATTTGATAGCAAGACATTGAGCAAAGGAACTGATAAAAATGTATTTATCAATTTTTGGTTAGAAATTGATGAATGCCAAAGTTCTCCATGTATCCATGGAAACTGTTCTGACCATCTTGATCATTATACTTGCCATTGCCAGGATGGATATACAGGAACAAACTGTCAGACAGGTATGGATCTAATTGTTTTCTTAAATTGCATCATTTCTCTTTGGTTTTATGAATATCATGCTTAGGATTCTTAATTTGTCCCTAGATATGGACGAGTGTGCTAGTTCTCCTTGTGTTCATGGTAGCTGTACAGACGGTGTCACTGGGTTCGTGTGTAGTTGTCTGTCGGGGTATACTGGAATCAATTGTGAAGTAGGTAAGTAATATTGTAAACATCTATATGGAAACATAGTGCATGTCCCCCAGAACGTATCTTTTAGATTTCAAGACTTTTCATACATTTGCAAATAGAGTTATGTTCTTATTCGCGGGATTTACTCTGAGCTTATAATTACCCTTAATGATGATAATAAACAAGTTTTAACCTTACTTAATCAAAAAACTATAATTAGGGCCTCGCTCTGCGGATGCGATAAAGTGATCAGTCTGTTCAACAGTACAAAACACTGATATGGGACTTTTTTTTTCAATCCTCTGAGCCAGTCTGTCTCAAACTTTACCCAAAGAGTGTTATGTCGGTAGCTAACGGATGCGCTGTGATCGTAAGCAAATTTTCTAGATCAAAGGTCAAGGTCAAACTTGACATTGTAAAATCCTTGTCCAAAGCATATTTACTATGTCCTTGGGCCATTTTGATTCAAACTTCACCTATAAATTGTCTGTTGGTAGAGGGTGAGCACTAATCTTGAATCAATTTTCTAGTTCAAAGGTCAAGTTCAAATAAATTGTGTAAAATACTTGTTAGGAACATATTTTTCTCTCTCCTTGATCCAATCTGGATTAGACTTGACCCATACAGTGTCTGAGGTTAAAAGGCATGCAGTTACCTTGAATCAATTTTGTAGATCAAGGGTCAAGGTAAGAACATCTTTTATAAATCAATTTTCTCTCCCCTTGACCTAATCTGGTTCAAACTTCAACCATAAACTGCCGGTGAGTCAAGAGTGTATAGTGACCTTGAACTAATTTTCTAGATGAAAGATCACGGAAAATTTAAAACATCTCTTAGTGAAATACTTGTTTTGAATTATCTCTCTCATCTTAGTCCAGTCTTGCTCAAATTTCACTCCTAGAGTGTCAGTGGGTAAAGGGTGCACAGAAGCCTTAAATCAATTTTCTAGAATAAAAAACTTTTCTGAGTTCAATATGATCCTCTCAAAATGCCGTTTTTTACAAACTCCTTTCACCCTAATGCCTTTTACTTATAACGGGACGATGTGAAATGATTACAGCCTAAAGTAATTTATATCCAACTTTTACAGAAATAAATGAATACCAAAGTTAACCATGAATCCATGTAAATTTCTCTGATGATGATAATCACTACGCATGTCAGTGTTATGCTTTACCAGAACAAAATGCCAAATAGATTTGCATTTTATTATTCTTATAATTTACCGATAATCTCTTCCATACTATTTCGTTTGTTGAACTAAAAAATAGTTTGTATTATTTCATTGTTATCATTCCGAACAGAAATTAACGAATGCACCAATTCTACCTGCATGCATGGTACTTGTACTGACCAAATCAATGGCTCCACCTGTGAGTGCATACCTGGTTATACTGGAGTCAACTGTGAAACAGAAGGTACATTTACTTCCCATACAAATCAACTTTAGAAGACATTATCATTTTTCTGACCTTTATTTAAAAAAATGTTTTGATTGATTTTTTTTAAATCTATGATGTAGTGTAACAACCATGGATATGAAAACGATATCCTATGAGCTATATAAAACAGTAAACATTTGATAAACCTGTATATTTTATACTTTTTAGCAAATTTTATTGACGGATGTGCAAGTTCACCATGTAAACATGGAGTATGTATTAATGAAATCAATAACTATGTTTGTGTCTGTGATACGGCATATCATGGGAGAGAATGTTCACAGTGTACGTATAAATATCATAAACGTAAATCAAGCCAAATGACGTTCAATTCAAAATTCCTCCAGATTTTCGATTTGTTGGAAAATTTATTTAACATACATATTCTTTTTAAAATATATCTTTCCAAAACTCTTGTCAGATATAATAGGATACTTAATCGAATGACTATTACAATTTCAATTCTTCATTATGAAGCCATTCCAGAATAGAAAATTACCTTTTTTTCTTTTTTTGTAGTTAACTTTTCCTATTTAATACCATTATTGGTAGGATTGCCGTTGTTGTCATTTGCCATTGTTCTTCTGTGGAAAAGATTTAAAATGTAAGGAGAGTTATTTCATCTATATTCATTTCACATGTCAACAAACAAGTACGAGGTACTTATAATCACAATGAAAATTGTTTAAAATTAACAAAATAATGAGACTTCTCTTCATATATTGAGTGTATGTGAAGTGCATGTATATGGGCATTACCTGAAGCCATGCTTAATTTCTTTAAGCATTTTTTATTTGGCTTGAGGAAATGAATGACTTTTGTATGATTGTAGTAACAGTGAAATGGAGATGCTTGGAGTCATACACTTTAGTGATGCACCTTTAGGGCCAACTAAGACATCGTTCCAAAAACAAACACAACGTTTGTCCACCAATTCAAAAGTTTTAGGATTTATTAATCAGTTATGGCAAAGAATCATGAACGTGATCAAGCTAAGTGGAAAGATTACAGCATTTTCTAATAACTCCCCGAAAAACATACAACGTGTTACGGATGAGTCAGCATTTCAAGTCAACAAAACTCGGACTGTATTTGTAGATTTGCAAAGAAACTTTAATGCAGATGAAGTAGACGACACAAAATATTAATGAATACATGTATTGCAAAACAATACTAAAACAAACGTATTTTTATTCAACACATGATTAGTGTTTTATCCAGAATATATCACTCATTGGAACAATATTCATATCTCTCACTATGTATTTCCAAGCCGTGTGATATCAAATAAACTAATACGAATCACTCACTGGAAAAATATTCGTATTCCTCACTATGTATACATGTATATCCAAGCCTCGTGATATCATATGTGCGCAAGTATATATACATGAAGGTTTGGGTAGAATTACAAAAACAAAATAAGCTAGTAGAATCTCTCTCTAAAAGTTTCTAACATATTTTAATGTTTTTCAACTAAAACAAAGTGTTAAATTTTAAAATTTTAATGTTACATTGTAGATAAATTCTCCCTGAATTGTTGTAATTTATGAGATTCTATGATATATCAGTTAGATATCAGCTAGGTAATGCAATACTTAGTGTTGCCATTTTTGATAGCATACAACATGTTCATATATGCATATGACTAAATAATGAAAAGTACAAGAAAGTCTATCTGGATAACAGGTTGTTGAAGGTCCCAAATCCAGAGGGTTATCAGTAAAATAAGATGAGTCTTGAAGCAGAAGGTTTGTCTATTCGTTACACCTGGACATGCATTTTTACGTATACTTGTACTTGTAATGAGAATATCTTAATAAAGTTTTTGTAAATCTACGTAATTCTGTTTTTGACTAACATATATTTATGTACTTTATCAATAAGTATGAGGTAACACGAGTACTGTATCGTGAATTTATAAAGATTTTTAAATATCTTCATCGACAGTTCTAGAAAATTATAGTGGAACGTGTAAAGATAAAAACAAACCCCTGATTTCTTTTTCTAAAAACTTAGCACGTTTTTTACGGCATGGGAGTTCATTTAATCTTTAATAAATTATAAAATTTTATAAAAATGCGTTCAAATTTACTTTCGAATAAAATACACCTGTAATGTAACAGAATCTTTTTTTTTTAATTTTAAAGTATGTAACAAAGCTCATTAATACGTGTCCATTTTATTTAATTTTAACTTAATTTGAAATCAGTTACATACAAAAAATCAGTCGACGCTTTCGTGTCCTAATATATATCAACATAGATTTAAGTAAGGTATAAAGATTTCTATTGCAAAATTGGCTTATCAATACAACCAACCACTTCTGCTAACTGCATTATGTAAAATCGATAGTGTACACACAGTCATTAATTAAATAACATTTTGGTGAGACTATAGATACTATGTAAAAATTTGAGACGATATCAATATCAAGTTCTGTGTTTTAAATTGATTGCCAATCTAAACGAAAGAAAAGTACAGTAAATTAGGCAGAATAGTTTCAGAAAAAAATATTATATTGCTACCGATGTTCCCATTTTCTTGATGATAGTACTGAATCTTGGCATAGACCTAAACCTGTTTTAGGTCTATGATCTCGCCAACATCGCATTGTATCGCATTACCTAGCTGTTGTAGAACTGATTGATCATAGCTATTCGATATAACGAATTGTCGAATCGATATAACGAAGTATCAAATTAAATTCGTTATATTAATGTCTTTGAATTCGTAATTACGAATTTTATCAGTTATAAAATTGAATTTGTTATAAAGCATTCAAAAATTTGTTATAACGAATTAAACTCTTTTCAACGAATTCTTAAACTTGTTATAACGTATTAAATTCGTTGAAACGAATTCTTTAATTTGTTATAACGAATTAAATCCGTTTTGACAAATTGGACAATTCATTATATTGAATTTATCTATATTTTCTATAGGCCCTCATTGTTGAATTTGATTAAACAAATTTATTTCGTTATAACAAAATTTGAAATTCGTTAAAGCGAATTTAATCTCTTACAACAAATTTTTGATTTCGTTAGAACGAATTCAACAAATTTGTTATAACAAATTTAATTCGTTATAACGAATTTAAACAACTTTTATACATGTAACAAATTTAATTCGATATAAAAATAATATGACAATTCGTTATATCGAACTCAAAAAGTTTTTTATAGGTCCTAAATGGGCTTCCGTACTACTCAAGCCCTAGCCGTGGTTGAACTCCTTTCTTCTAGCAGTGCACCGGTCACGGTAACGTACTCTCGCTTCGTGATCGGGAGGCCCGGGTTCGATTCTCGTTTGCGGCGCTGCGTCAAATTTAAGACGTAAACATAGGTAGTGACTGTTCCTTCGCCAAGCGCCCGGCACTAGGAGTGAAAAACACTGGTCTTTCGGATATATTCTTAAAAACCGAGGTCCCTTGTCACGGTAGACTTTGGCACGATAAAAACCCTCACTGGTCAATGGCTCTGCGTACCGAGCATAGGTCTAAATTTGACCGGTATACGGTGACGTCTCTATATGAGTGAAAAATTATCGAATGAACGTTAAACAACATACCGGTACAATAAATCAATCCTAGCAGTGCAGAAACAGCGTTCTAGATCGCAAGCTATCTAGGCAAGTAAATAAAACGTTTTGATGCCGATGAAATTCTCGCGACTCCACCCAAACTACACGAGAATGGAAGTGGGAAACAGCAATTAGAAAATGAAATTGAGATAAGCTATTTGGACAAATGTTTTATTAGAGGATCTTTACTGATACACATTGCTTTGAAACTAACATTATTTGAAAGCACATTAACTTTACAATAACTCTTAAACTTACATTTCTGTACTATGTGAAGAATATTGATATAGAAAGCACAGAGGAATTCACTTTATAAGGATACTTATATATTATAATAATAATAATAAAAATAATAATACAAAAAAATTATATTTGGGTGAAAGAGTGCAATTTGTTTAGATATCTTTAACGTATTTCTAATATGCTTATCAGTTTGCTATCGATTCAGAACGTAGTCTTAAGTTGACAGCTGTGATCGTTACATAATCATTTACTTCCTTCTTGATAATCTACCATTCTCTGTGACTCTATTCATGCAATAAAATTAATAGACTTATGTACACAAAACCGTTTAACGATACGACAAAGAGGACACTTTTAGACATGTCAATGCATTGTTTGCTGTATATACATGTAATGTGACATTGCAGTAGTTAGTGTAAACTTAATGGCATTGGTTGTTCTTTTAGTCTTCCTAGTTGTGGACTTTCCTGATTTTCTATATAAAAGCCTCAAATCTACAGATCCAAATAAGTCAAAAACAAGATCTTCAACAATGTCTTACCCAACCTTTGCTTTAGTAATAGTATCAGCAGTACTAAACATTTGCAGCGGCTACTCATTGAGTCAGTTCTATAGTTTTGGTCTAGCCGCTGGAGACAGCGAATTGCCCGCAAATGACGACAACTCCACTTCTAGAATTCCTATAGTTGTGTCATTTCCTTTCTTTGGGTCATCATATAATTCAATTTACGTAAGTACAGGTTATTTCTCTCAGTATGAATGATATTGTTCTTTTTCAGTTATTACTTTTATGAAGAACTTTTTGGAAAATATGATACATGTATTATGTCCGTTAAGATAAAGTTTACCTCAAATCAGTATTACTTCTTAGGTAAATAACAACGGCGACACTACGTTTGAGACTCCATTAAGACAGTTTACTTCACAGCCCTTCCCAATTAATGGAAGTCATAGAATCATAGCACCATTTTGGACTGATATAGATACAAGGCAAGGTGGGAAATTATGGTATCGCATAACAACAGACACAACTATTTTACAAAGAGGAACAAATAAAATCAACTCTCTCTTTCCTGACATTGTAACTTTCACTGCCACGTGGATGATGATAATTACATGGGAAGATGTAGCTGCGTATAGCTGTTCTCCCACCGGAACAATAAATTGTCAACAGGTAACATTGTAGTACTTGCATTTGTGTATTATTTTGAGCAATACGAATATTATACGAATATGAATAATAATGTTTAATTTCTTTTCAAATCTTTCATTTTTTTTAACTTTTAAAAATCAATACATAAAAAATTATACCTATGTTCATCAGTACGTAAATGTCTTAAATTGAATTACTTATCATTTTGTTATCTATTATGACAGTGGAACACATTTCAACTTGTTTTAATCAACAATGGTGTTCATTCATTTGTTGTATTTAATTACAACAAAATCACTTGGACAAAATCTGCTCAGGTAACAGTAACTTTTATAAATACAACATGAAGCAATAGAGCGTAAACTTTGTGCCTCTTTTACCTATAGGAATATGACATATCACGTACATATTTTAGTAATCTAAATGTATCTGTTCCCTTTTGGAAGGTCGGGTTTAATGCTGGTGATGGAGAGAATTATTATTCAGTTCCCGGGTCAATGACAGACGCTGTGTTAAATCTTTCTCAGATGTCTAACATTGGAATTCCTGGACAGTTTGTATTTAGAGTGGATCAAGCTAAAATAACTAATGCAGGTTTGTTCTCTTATAAACTTCGTTTATCTCAACTTATAATTCTTCTTATATATTTCAATTGTTTAAGAAAATAACGCTGCCATTTTTAGTATGTTTGATAATTTTTGTGCAGATATCGTCGACGAATGCGCCAGTTCTCCCTGTGTTCATGGAAATTGTTCAAATGAATATCTTTATTATGAATGTATCTGTGACCCTGGATACACGGGTGTAAACTGTGAAAATGGTAAGCATTAGATAGATTTACACGTTAAACGAGTAAAACGCGTTAAATGAGTGTTGAGTTATCCAGTTATCCAAGTATTGTCAAAAGACTCACATTAAATCTTCTCTAGCAGTAATTCTATTTTTTCTTCCCAAACATCATAATTTCAAGAAAACATGCTGTATTCAAATAATGACTACATGTATATTACTGGGCCCTATTAACTTTTTTGAAATTAGATATCTGGATGACATATGAATCTGTACTTAGATAAGATTGATATTCAACCTTTTTTTTCTTATTTCGAAAGAAATCTGGAAAGACTCAAATCTTAAATGTTTATTCTTTCAGTTGGGAATCTCTTCGTATTTGGCAAGAAAGGAGTCCCTAAAAAGAACAATTCAAACGAAACATTTCTTTAAAAAATATTTTAGTATTTTCAAAAAGTAAAGAAGTTTTTACTATTTTAAACCAAAGTATTCTAAAAAGTTTAAATTGTCACGTTTTCTTTCTCATCTCAATTCTCAGATTTCTTTGTTACATGTTAAAGGAAAGATTATTCAAATATCATCATTGGTATTAAATTCCACGGTTATCAATGATCTAAATCTAAAAATAACAGTACTAGAATAAAATTTCATGGTAAATCAAAGTTCCATAGTAAAGATGCAAAGTATCAAAGGAAATTAAAGTATAGTATGGAAGTATTAAAGTATGTACTATAGTAAAGTGTCAAATTATTAAAGAATGAACTACAGTAAAGTATGTACTAAAGTGAAATATCAAAAAATTAAAGTATATGCTAAAATGAAGTATCAAAGTATTAAAGTATATACTAAAGTGAAGTATCAAAGTATGTACTATAGTAAATTTACAAATTATTTAAGAATGTACTATAGTAAAGTATCAAAGTAATTAAGTTTGTACTATAGTAAACTATAGTTAATTATAATAAGTTTTTATTAAGTTTTTTTCTTTAAATCTGATAGCATTTAGAAAAAGAAATCACTTTAACTTTACTGTCTGAAGGTTTTATATTATTTATGATACATACTCTAAATCATTTCTAATAATGTTGGACCAAGACGACAAGTGTTTGAAAAATAGTTTAACTGCAAACGCAATGCATCATTTCAATTTTTGAAAAAAAAAAAAATCGTGATTTTCTTTCCCAAAAGAACGTATTACGTGTAGTCTACCTATGTTTTACTCATCTTAAACGAATATTTATAGTCTTCGCTGATTTATGCCACATTTTCCCTTTCTAGTGTAAATTTACATATTATAGCAAGAGGTCTTAAGAAGCAAAATTTATTGATTTCAAAATGATTTTTTGTTAGAAATTGATGAATGCCAAAGTTCGCCATGTATCCATGGAAACTGTTCTGACCATCTTAATCATTATACTTGCCATTGTCTGGATGGTTATACAGGAATTAACTGTCAGACAGGTTTGTATCTAATTGTTTTCAATTTTTAAAATTTCATTATTACAATTTGTTCAATAGAACAGCATTTCTATTTCTATTTCAATTTCTCTTAAGATATTAACGAGTGTGCTAGTTCTCCTTGTGTTTATGGTAACTGTACGGATCATATCAATGGGTACGTGTGTAATTGCATGCCGGGATATTCTGGAATCCATTGTGAAGTAGGTGAGTAACATTTCATTCAAATATATGGAAATAGTGAGTGTCCATTTAAAAGCTTGTATCGTTTAGTTTTCTCGTCTATATTCCCCACGTTTGCTAAAAAAGACCTTGGTATTACATCTAGTTAAAAAATAATTCTAAATGATGATACCAAACAATAGTCGACATTAAGTTAGTCATTGTTCTAAAATTTATATTGGATTTCACAGATATCAATGAATGCCAGAGTTCACCCTGTGTCCATGGAAACTGCTCTGACCATGTTAATCACTACACATGTCAGTGTTATGCAGGATTTACCGGAACCAATTGTCAGATAGGTTTGTATTTTAAAATTTCTTTCTCCTTTTCATACGCCGATTTAAAACTGCATGCAATATTTACGTTATTTCCTTTTCGTCATTCTGCACAGACATTGACGAATGCGCCAGTTCTCCCTGCATACACGGTAATTGTACTGACCAAGTCAATGGATACACCTGTGAATGTATACCTGGATATACCGGAGTCATCTGTGAGACAGGTATATCTATAATTCAATACATTCCTTTTCTTTTTTACATTGAATAATTTTGATCGAGTGAAACTGGACAAACACAAACTATGATAAATGGGCATTGCAAAATTACCATATAGAAATGGATAAGACTTTGAATGTCTTTAGATTTTATTACTCCTTATTTCTTTTTTATTATAGAAATTGACGAATGTTCAAGTTCACCATGTAAGCATGGATTATGCATTGATGAAATTAATAATTACATTTGTGTTTGTGATACGGCATATTATGGGAGAGATTGTTCACAGTGTACGTATAGATATGAATGTTATTCAAGAAAAAATTATGTTCAATTCAAGTTTCATTCAAGTAAGTTTTTTAGGCGAATTTAAGTTGTATACATAATGTTTTCAAATATATTGTTTAAATAAACGTCATGTTGGATGTATGCTACCCATATTATACTTTATCATATGACAGTTAACTTTATTGGCCCTGTTATATAATTATAAAACGGTTCCTACAAGAGAAAACACTTATTTTATTATTTATCACCTATCTCCGCTTTCCAGTTAACTTCTCCTATCTAATACCATTCTTGGTAGGATTACTGCTGTTGGTATTTGCCCTTGTTCTGTTACTTCTGTGGAAAAGAATCAAAAGGTACGGAGGTTGATTCTATTTTTATTTCACAAATGAACAAATATTTGAAAAAAAAGATTAAAAAATCAGTGAAAAATTAAGGAGATTTTAAAATGCATCGGTTATACATATGTGAAATACATATCTAAAATGTATCGACATTAAGTGAAGCATACTCGTTTACTTAATCATTTTATACATGTCCCTTTTAAGTAAGTGGAATTTTATCTTTCTTTTTATTATAGAGACAGTGAAAGTGAGATGTTTGGAGTCATTAACTTTAGTGATACACCTTTAGGGCCTAGTAAGACATCCTTCGGAAAACAGACACAAAGTTTCTCTACTTATTTTAATTTCTTAGGATTTATAAATCAGTTATGGCAAAGAATCACAAATTTGACTAAACCAAGTGGAAAAATTAATGCCATTTCGAGCAATACTCCAAAAAACACACAACGTTTCACGGATAATTCAGCATTTCAGGCCAGCAATATTTATTATATTCACGTAGATTTGCCAAAGAGTTTAAATGTTTGTGAAATAGATGGCACAAAACATTAATGGATGTTTAAAAAAACACTATTAATCCAAAAGTATTATTTAATATATACCTCAATCGACTTGTTTGGAGAGGTGTTCTATTTTTTGTCCTCTTCTTCCTTTCTTTTCTGTTTGTCTTTCCGAATATATCCTGCAATAAGATAAAATATGAGGGAAAAAAGGATAATATTTCGAAGATCTGTAAAAATTCTACTCTGTCTCTCTCTCTCTCTCTCTCTCTCTCTCTCTCTCTCTGGGTGTGTATGTGTATTTGAGCGAGAGGTGAGGGTTTTTGGTATGAGTTGGTATGAATGTGTGTTTATCATCTAGTGTTGCTTATGTGTTTATTTACTTTATTTTTTTTAGGAAAAAAGTCAAACTTTAAAGTCGTGTTGTTACATTGTTGTTTGTCATAATTAATTGTTTTTCAAATCTCACTAAAAATACATGTACAAAGTTTACTTATTTTCAATAAAAAGAAATTGATGGGACATCATTCCTATTCTCTTGTCATTAAAAAAAACCAACTTGTCCTTCCGACGTTAGAAAGTAACAGTCAAATATTAGTATTATTCTGATAAACATGTATATGTATTTTACTTTCTCTGTACTGATATATTTAAAGATTGGACTGTTACTTGGACAGAAAAAACTTGACCATTAAACAAAAAGCGAAGTTAAATCTTAAAGTAAAGGTATTGGTTTGAAACAGAATATAATGCATAGTGTTATTTGAAGAAAAAGAAAGAGTCAACTTCCACAAAGTGTTCTAATCATATTGGTCAAATCCGCCTTGATCTCTGTAATGATTAGGTAATCGTAGAAATATTTAGGATTTTTTTTTTACTGAGTACAGATCAAAATCTACATCCATCCACAAGCATCCAAATGTCTAATATTTTTTTTAATAAATTTTCAGAAATGTATTCGACATAAATAAAAATTAATTTCATATTAAATATAAAAAAGATTTGCTTAACATGATTTTCCTATTGAATAAGAAGAGGAACTTTTTTTTCCTCTCTATATATTTTAAGACAAGAAATACTTGTGATATACACAATAGGCCCAAATGTAAATATATCTTTAAAAAAAAACACTGATCGATGTATCAAACATCTAAGATTTTAAAAGCACTCACGAATATCTCTGTGTATACTGCAGAAAAAATAGAAAGAAAATAAAATTGTCCTTTTCTTCTTGAAGGAAAGGTTGGGAAGTGCAATAATCTTTATCCCTTTTGAGTACATGTATCTTACTAAGCAGTTTCTGGAAAAAGGTTGTGGCTAAATGTCATGAATGAATTGATTCTTTTTAAGGATTTAAGACAGGTCACTTTCCATATAAATAAAACTGTTTGAGAGATCTTTAACTAATAATTAGCTAAGATCCTCATAAGAATCTGAAATTAATATTTAAGACCTTATTTGATATTTGTTTTATTCAAAGCCCCTATACTTTTTTTTTAGTTTTTTAATATGAGATGTCCAAAATCTGAATCGAATACTTACATGTATGTACTTAATCAAAAGTACCTGTAAAACTATGAGGTGTATTGACAAGGATTATGAAATGTATCAACAGATCTCGATTATGAAAATGTTTCATTAAAACCTAAATACAATGCACACTTTTTATTTCTTTTTATTTAGAAGTGTTTAATTGAAAAAAATTAAGTGTGATGTTTTCTTTTGATTTTTATGAGACGTGACAAATCAACAATTTGTGTCACGTCAGTGAGTTCTTTAATGTATATTTGTTTTAATACAATTTTGTCTAGCCAACATACACTCGATAACCACAGCACGTAGGGGGTTTCTGTCATCTTGCCTCAATCAGTTAATTGTTACCCACTTAATCAATTTTATCGTTTTGGTTTGTCTGCTGGTGACAGTAAATTACGCTCAAATGATGATAGTTATACATCAAACATTTCAACAACAGTACCATTTCCTTTCTTTGGATTGTTTTTTAATTCTTTATTTGTAAGAATCCGTTATTGATGAATTGTCATTCTCTCTGAGCTGCTTTAGTAATTATTTGAACAGGGAAACTTTATCCAAATTGTGGAAATTCGAATCCATTGCAAGATGTGTATTATTGTTTATACGTTATACTTTAATCAAGGCCACATCAGTCAAATATAACAAAATCTAAATGCATGAGTGTTTTGCTTTTTAATAAATATGTGCAACTTCTTTTTATCAAATGGGGTTGACCAGTCGACAGGGGATGCTTACTCCTCCATGGCACCTGATCCCACCTCTGATGTTTTGTAGAGGTCCTTGTTTGCTCTGCTCCCGATTTGGTATTGTTTCAATGGACTTTTGAGCTTGATTACTGTTCGTTATCTCCATATCTTATCACCTTTTGAAATAAATAAAATATATTGATTGAGCAATGTTAATGCTTTTATGTAATTATGTCACTTATTTAAATTGAAATATAAGAAAAAATATAATAGATATAATCATATTGGAATTTGTAATGCTACATAATCATTTTCAATAGGCTAGATTATACAGATTCAAATTCGTGATCAAATAATAAACTATCATTGTCGTTATTTTTGCAAAAAAAGAATACTCATATTGTGATTTTTTTTCTCTATTGTGCATGTTTTATAAATACACCTTTTGGTGAATGTTAGTTTCACATGTAGATCAGGATTCGTATGCATAAAAATTCTAAGAATTTTCTTAACTGTATACTTAAATTTCTTAAGCACATTCTTAGCTAAGTAAGATGCTTAGATTCCGTTGACTAAAACATGCTTAGTGATTCTTAGCTAAGCATATCGTAATGTGCTTAAGTACACTGATGCCATGTCAATAAAGTCACTTCCTCTTTCACTTTAATTTAAATATACACAAGTTTTGATGTAGACACAAAGAAATAAAATAATGAAAATACAAATCATATTAATTTAAAGATTCACCTTCCTGTTATAACTATTTTTTTCTTATATTTTGATCGATTTGATCGCAATTATTTCGTTTGATATCGATGACGTGTTTATATTATCGTCTGCTCGGACAAAAAAGGAGGTACATGTATACACACTGGTAAAGATGGCTAAAGAAGGCAACAGAGCAAAAAGAAACAAAGAAATAAAAAACAAAACAAAACTGGACGCAAAATTGAGAGGGGAGAGTGAATCAAACTTTATTTATTTAGTTTTGAAATTGAAGTTATATTTTTTAGAGAATGAAAGGACATAGTGTGCACCTTTCCCACGATGAACTTAGGTTTAATTCGTTTATATAATCACATGCGTAATATTTGGCGCTTTTTCTGAATACAGTCAGTAGAAAATATCTCTCTCTCTCTCTCTCTATCTCTCTCTATCTCTCTCTCTCTCTCTCTCTCTCTCTCTCTCTCTCGTTACTTAATCAATAGTTTTGAGCTATTTATATTTTTAGCTTTTTTATTATTGACATCTTAATTGATCTGTGATTGACGATTGAATGATTGTATAGATTACATGTAATATAGGATACATGGAAATCAAATTATTTTGACATAATGTAAAAATAAGTTAACATGTATCTAGACGTACATCGCACTGGTGCACTGAACTCAAAAAGGGCTGCATTTTATAGCTGCTGGACGTTGACAAACTATGCAACAATCAAATGACGTCATATTTTGAACCGTTTTGATAATAAATAGCTAGCGTCAATAAAGTATGTAAATGCCATATAATAAAGGATATACTTGCAGATTGTTATTTATTTCATTGATTTAATCTCCTCATTTTTTTTTCTATTTCATTTTTTGTAAAATTCCTTTAACTGTTTTTGTGTGACTAGCTCTTTGAAATATCTGTAAACTAAGCATATACTTAAGAGTTGAGAAGTTTTATGCAACATTCTAAGCAAGATGCTAAGTAAAATTCCAATCTGCTAAGCAGGAAAATGATACTTAAGTATATGCCTAAGGACTTAAGAATTTTTATGCATACGAACCCAGAACCACAAAAATTTGTCTCAATGATAAAACTTCTTCATCATTTTGTTTAAAATATATGCATTTTTGCCATCTTCGCTGTATTGTCGAAATATATTGTTTACAAAAAAATTCTTCATATAATCTTAAAAATTTACATGGGATCTGTGTTACCTTAGATGGTTCTAACCCCCCCCCCTTTCGATCCTCTACTTAAACAAAATAAGTAGGTATTGTGGGGTTCGTCGTTGAACTTTCCTGTAAATCACACAATTGACCCCAGGGTCAATTTTCAACCCGGATCTAGAGGGCTGCAAATTTTGACCTATGCTCGGCACTTAGGGTCATTGAGCAGTGAGGGATTTTTTTTCATGCCAACACCTCGGCTTATACAGTCTCATCCGAAGGACTGGTCTCCATGTCCCGCAGTGGATTCGACTCTGCACTAACATCTACTTGAGTCAAAATTAAAATGGAATTATAAGACAATTTTCTTTATGAGATGACTTTTTAGGTTTTCACTAATTCATACTGCAACATGAATGATATCCCTCCCAGACATGTAAAATAAAAAATAAGTTTACTCACTATATTGTCTTTGATCTATATCTATGATTACAAAAGGACCCAGCCAGAAGTCTTTTATCGTGGTTTGTTACAAATTTCCCATGGAACTCCTATAAATTAGCTCAAGATCAGTAGAAATGAACTCGATCAATTATGCTTGAAAAGTACTCACTGTGAACCTGACTTGTTGAAGACAGGTAAACATACCCCTCAGGGTATAATAATTAATTTTGCTTTGTTATAAGTGTAATTGCTTATATCCATTAAGTTTACAATATATTTGGAAATCGCTTTGCTGTAAGCAACAATTCATTATATTAAGCGTGTTTAAGCATGCTTTACTGTATAAGAAAAAACTCTTCTCAAGAACCACTGGGCAAGAAAAGTTGAATCTTAAGTGAAAGTTTCATTACATAATGCAGAAACAAATTTGTTCTTTCAAAATTCTACTCCTCCTACAGTTTTTATGCAACAAGTAGACTCTACTAGTCTACATACTGTTTTTG